GCCGGGCTTGTCCGGAGAGCGGGGCACCTTCAGGAAGCAGTCGTTGAAGGAGAGCGAGTGGCGGATGGAGTTCTGCCAGCGCTGCTGGTTCTGCCGGTAGAAGGGGAAGAGGTCCATGATCCACTGGTAGATCTCGCTCAGTGTCAGCATCTTGTTGGGGCTCTGCTGTATGGCCATGGTGATGAGCGAGATGTACGAGTAGGGAGGCTTTGCGTGCGTGTAGCTGCGCCGGTAGGTCTTGGGATCGCGCGCGCGGCTCAGGCCGGCCTGCCCGTACATGGGGCTCATGGAGTTCATGTTGGCGTAGGGGGCCAGGCCGCCCATGGCCCCGGCCGCCTGCCCCCCGAGCGGGCTCAGGCTGGGACTCAAGTGCGGCCCCATGCCCGCCACGCCGGCCGCCCCGGCCGAGGCGCCCATGCCCGCCATGGCGCCCGCGCCGGGGGACATGCCCGCCAGGGACGGGCTCATGCCTGTGCCCACGTACGACGACATGTTCATGGAGCCCGCGCTCATGTTGCCCGAGCCGCTGCCCATGGCGGCCGCCGACATGCTCATGTACGTGTTCATGCCGTTCATCCCCAGGCCGGCGTTCATGTTGCTCACGGAGGAGTAGCCCTGCGGACAGAGCCCCGGGAGGGAGGCGACAGCGTTAGCACCGGGGCTCGAGGGTGCCCAGATCTCCCACCCACCGCCCAGGCCTCCGCCTCCGGGGAGGCCTCCGGGGAGCCCTTTCCTCCCTTGTGGCCCAGTTTCCGGACTCCTTGTCTGTTTCATCCAGGGAGAGCCATGATCGATCACCCTTGGGAAGGCGGAGAGCGGATGGCTACTTGGGCATGTGGCCCATTCCTAGCCCTTCTCCACCTCGCCCAGATTCTAGAACAGGGGTCCCATGGAGTACTCCCAAACCAGAACCCCAAATGCATTTCCCTGCCCCAGAGTCTCCCCAAACTCTCCTACCCGCATACTAAGCTGGCGCCGAGGCCCGAAGTCCCCGGACGCCACCTCCGGTAGCTGCAAACAACCTGCGGGACACCTCGCCGGGCGCCTCAGGCTGCCTCCAGTGAAGATTGTCCCTGATCCCCTCTGTCCCGTCTCCCTCCCGGGACCCCCTCCCTTGTTCCAGGGAATCCGAAAGGCAGCGCCTGTGCGGAGTGTGGGGGCTGCCGGAGGCACTGAATGGGGCAATAGGGAAGGAACCGAGACCTAAACTACACGCGGCTGAGCTTTGCAGGCACAAACTTTCTTTCTCTTTGTCCACTAGTCTTTGACTCTGCCTCCACTTCAGCCCCCAACTCCTACCCATCTTCTCCTCCTCAGCTCCCCACCCCCTCGCCGGCCGACCTCCCACCCCTCCCCAGCCGCGCGCTGCCAAACATAACTCTGTTAGGATAGTGCGTGGCTCGGCCACGAAGAGGATTTGGAGGCGCCGCAAGTCAATATTTGATCACAAAGTTAATATTATCTCAAGGCTAACAGTGTGTCGTATAAAAAAGAGACCCATTTGATTCCAAGGAGGGCGGAAAAGGCGGCTGCCCAGAAAGGCTGGGGTTGTGGGGCGGGGGTGGGGGGGTGTCAGCGAGGGAAGCGGTCCTGAGGTTGGGGAAGGAGCGAGCGCCGCCGCTCCACTTCCCCCTGGAAAAGACGAGCTCTTACCTCGGGCTCGGCATAATAGCTGCTCCAGTCGGACGGCTCGTGCCCTTCCATCTTCACCGCTCCCAGCATACTGGAAGCCGAGTGCATGGCAGTTTAAAATTTAACAGCCACAACAAACGACCAGTAATCACCCCCCACCCCCACCCTCTTTTAAAAAAAAGTCAGCCAAGGCACCGTCCCCTCCTCCCTCCCTCTCTCGCGCTCCCTCTCCCAGGGCTCCACTCCCTCTCTCTCCCTGGGCCGGCCGGAGGCGGTAGTTGGAAGTGGGCGGGAGTGGGGGGGGGAGCGAGGAGCAGAGGAGGCCCCGGCCAGCGCCCCGCGGCAGGGAGCGCCCACCGCCGCCGCCGCCGCGCTCACGGGCTGCCGGGTGGCGGTTGAGGTTGGCAGTGCAGAGCTGCCCCAAGGCAGCGCGCTGCGCGGGGGCTGGTTGGGGAGGGGGGTGGGGAGGAGGAGGAGGAGGAGGAAGGAGAAGGAGGAGGAGGAGGAGGTGGTGGTGGTGGTGGAGGAGGAGGAGGAGGAGGAGGAGGAGGAGGAGGAGGAGAAGGTGTGGACCGCGGAGCCGACAAGTGCCGCAGTGACGTGGGCGGCTGGTGATATAGCGCGGCGCGCTGGCGCGGGCCTCCAATCCCCAGACCCGGGGCAGCCCATTTGAATAATCAGCTCACACCTAGGTGAGAGGGAGCCGCAGCCGGCTCTCCGCACCTGCCCCTCCGCGCCTGCCGCCCGCCCCACCGCCGCGGCGCCCCGCACTCCTGGGCGGGCCAGGGGAGCGGGCCGGGCGGGCGATCGGGCACAAGGGATCCCTGGTCAAGCCCCCTTTCCTCCCGGGTCTACGGCGAGTCCCCTGAGGAAGGAGGGACCTGGGAGGAGACCACCCTCGGGGGCGGCTCTGGCCTCAGGCCCCCGCCCCGTTCCATCGCGCCGTGGCGCCCGGTGCGCCTGTCGGAGCGCGCGTCCGGCCTCAGTGCCCGGCAGATCCCTATGAAAGCCGGATTTATTTATGCCGGGTTTCTTCGCTCTCAGTGCTCATTCTCTATCAAAACAGCAAGCCCCTAACAGCCAATTTGCAAAGTGCTGTCCTATTTAGAAAAACTGTGTACACACCTTTAACTCGCCCGCCGCTGCTCCTGCGAGGCCCCTCCTTGTTAGAGTTCAGACCCGGAACGGCCTCGGGAGACGCGCCGGGCGCACGGTCCGGCCGCCTGGGCTCTCGGCCTCCTCAGAGCCCGGCCGCCAGCGACCGGCAGTGGGGCGGCCGGGGCCTGGCGCAAGCAGCCCCTCCAGCAGCGGCCGACGGTTGGGAGGCTGAGATAGATCTCTGATATTCAGGCCGGCGTGTTTCAAGGTTACTTTTCAGTCACAACCGAGGTGCCCACAGCATTTCGTAACTAAAACAAACAGGGCAGGAGGCGGGGAGGGAGGGGTAAGGAGGGAAGAATCCAGGAATCAATGATGGGGCATATGGAGTTGACTTCAAGAGGGTCTCCGTCCTCTCTGTCTTCCAGAGGGACTGCTTTATAAAAATTGGAAACTCCAAAAATCGTATACTTTTATTTCCCCTGCAGCTCTTGGGTTCAAAAATTGTCTTCTGTTCTGGGTTAGCCTGTGAGCCCAGATTTGAAGTGGGGGGATATTGCAGGTGTTTGGATGTGGAGGTTCTTTCTTGGTTCTGAAAAACTGGCTGGGCCTTGGGGATCCAGCCCTGTACCCACACCCTCAGACACAGAGAACGCATAGGAAATAGTGGGCATCCAGCCCACCTGTCCAAAATTGGGGGCGATGGTGGCAGAAGACAGACGAGATGGCAGACACGGAGCTTCGCATTGAAGCTTGAGTAAGGGTGAGGCTGGAAGGCAAGAGAGCAGGGAGCAGTAGGCACAGGGGAACCACCTCCCCAACCCGAGGACTCTCAGGTCCGCAGGGTTTGGGACACAGGAGGAAGCCGCCAGCAGCACCCTTTGCTGCTGAAATGCAGATAGTTTGGACAATTCATAATGAGGACATTAATAAGCCCGCTGAGCCAGGATTCTCCCCAAAATTCAAGGTCTGCATCTCCGCGGAAGCCGTGCCCATCGGTCCCCAGAGTGCTGAAGGCTCCCAGGAGGGGCAGGTCAGCAGGGTGCTCCAGGGAAGGGGCTTGATGGTGTGTACGGCTACGTAGTGAACGTGGAGGTGTGCGCAGAGGAGTCAGAGGGGCTAGATCCCTAGCATTTCCCACGGGATCCCACCTAGCGCGTGCATGGGAGCAACTTCATCACTCCACCGAGGGCAGGGAAAGAGAAGTACGCATTGGAGCTCAAAGAATGAGCAATTTTTCAAAGCTTTCTCCACAGGCCAGGGCAGATACACACACACACACACACACACACACACACACACACACCCCAAAACTCAATGTTATGTTTGACCTAGTCTGTGCGTGTGCTGTATGAGAGTGTTTGTGAGCTTATGTGGGTGCCCACTCCCCTTTCTATTTTTGCTCCTGGTTGAAAATTTGGTCCCAGAAATTATTCCAGGAACAGAAGGAGCGAGCTGGAGAGCCGCAGGAGGAGGAGGCGCTACCCTTCCAAGGAGCTGACTTTGCAAGCCCCCACCTCCACCCCAGCTCTATCGGTGGCCGGGGTCAGGGACACCAGAGAGCGCTCGGCGGGGCTTCCACAGTGACAGGGTGCCCCCTGTCGGCCGCCAGGCCCGCGGGACCGACCCGAGTCCTCATTTACCCCCGCGATCCCAACCCGGCAGCTCCGGCACTCAAGCACCTTCTCCCCCGCTCTCCCAGTCGCTGCGAAAATACCTTCTGGGGGACTCGGCCTTTTTGGAGCCCCAACCCCTAAGTTCTGCGCGAACCCAAACCGGCCTCCTGCACCCTGGCGAGGTTCTGGGAGCTCCGGTAGGGTAGGGCTGGGTGACGCCGCCTAGAGTCTCGGAGCAGTCACTCCCACACCCTCCTGGCACGCCCACCCTATGGGAATGCGAGCGGGGTCTACGGTTGGCTTTAGGCAGCGGGTAGCAGGACACCAACGGGCTGCGAAGGAAGCAGGGACGTTCAGACAGCCTGGGGTTCTCATTCCCTTCCAGCTCAGCGGTCTTTGGAGCTCCTCCTTCGCGGAGCTCCGATTTCTTAAGGGTTATCCAGAGTTCTGGCTCAGGCTTGAATGCTGAAGATTGCTCCCGGAGATTCTCTCCAGAAAAAAGTTCGCGGGGACCTAGGGCTGCAGATGTTTCTCCCGATCCCTCTTTAGTCTACCCTCATGTAGGGCCGAGATCTACAAAGCCCTTTCCTTTTCATTTTGTTAGGTCACCGCCGGCTTCTATAATAAAAAGCTGCTTTATAACTGAGGACTGTGTTTGGGGTTAGCACGCTATTTTTATTTTGGATGTTGCCTCAATGGCAAAGTCATAAGACTCGAGTTCAAATCCGGGCCTCCTCTGCTCTCCCTGGGAAGAAAACACCCAGGCCATCCAGGTCTTCTAGGCCTTCATCTTGCTGGAACAATCCTACGTTCCCCTAGCAAAAGTCCTTCCTAGAGCTCTTTGTCACATGAAACTAACCAGTGCAGAAGGGGCATCACTGAACAAAACTCAATTTTCCTCAGTGAGAACCCGTGAAATACCTAAGGAGAAAAACAATAAAGGTCCCATTAATACTCCAATTCCTAAAACCTTTCAGAGAATAAATACTCAGGCAAGGCCTTGCTCAAAGTTCCCTAAGGTGTTTAGAGCAACATAAAGCAGATATGTAGGCAAGACGAAGGCAGAGGGGATGGAAAAGTGACAACACAGTCTTGGGAAAATATGCATTTTTACTTTCATATAAGCTTTTTAATTGATAAAAAAGCAGATGACCAAACACCCCTTATTCATTCTATGGATGAATCTCAAGTCTCAATAAAGAAAAGGCATATCATGTGTCAAGGATTATAATCAACATTTAACTTTTTTTGGGTGGGTTGTTATTTCTGAAATGTACTAAAAAATCAGCGGGGCGCGGTGGCTCATGCCTGTAATCCCAGCACTTTGGGAGGCCGAGGTGGGCGGATCACCTTAGGTCAGGAGTTCAAGACCAACCTGACCAACATGGTGAAAACCCGTCTTTACTAAAAACACAAAACCCGTCTTTACTAAAGATACAAAATTTGCAGGACATGGTGGCCCATGCCTGTAATCCCAGCTACTTTGGAGGCTGAGGCAGGAGAATCACTTGAACCCGGTGGGGCAGAGGTTCCAGTGAGCTGAGATCATGCCATTGCACTCCAGCCTGGGCAACAAGAGCAAAACTCCATCTGAAAAAAAAAAAAAAAAAAAAATCAGACCATCAGAATTTGTCTACTTGGCACTGAGCACACCTTCAAACACTTATGTTGGTTTTCATAGTTCTTGGATGGTCAAAACACCAATTGTTTATGGAGAGGGCAATTGAAAAGGTCATTAGCTAAGAACACCTTATCAGAGGGTATTTATGTAATAGAATAAAACAAATTCAACATGTTGCAGCCGTCAGCAAAAGCTCAGGAAAATGCTGATAAAGGGGGAGGCAAGGTGCAACATTTTAAATTAAATATTCTGTGCACCTGCGTGCAATCTATCTCTCCACCACAAGATCCACAGGAAAAGATGAAACATACATTTTTAAAATGACAAAATAAAATGAATTAAATAAATAAGATGTTAGTAACCTTGATTTTGTTTGGGTGGTAGAATTATATCTTCAATCTATATTTTTTGCAGTATGGGTTGTATCATTTTATATCATTACTTTATTATTACATTCTCTTTTACTATTTTATGGTGAAATATGTAATAAGGATATTAGATCTGATGTTAAGGAAACTTTGGCAAAATAACTTGTGCAAATATTCATTCAGTTATCATCCTTGAAAGGAGATCAGAGAAGCCACCATACAAGCTGCCAACAGGTTTGAATTCTGAAAAACAAGCCATTATTATTTTGTCTTACCGGTATCAGGGGATGAACTGTGATCTTCCCTGAGTTGAGAGAGGAGGAGAAGAAATATTCATGTCAACCACAGGTATTGACTTACCAGGGCGGTTTCTGCACATTGTTTAGGGGAAGGAGACAGACTCTGTCTTCTGGGTGGGGTGGCTTTAAGATGGGTCTGGCACACAGAGCTCTTGCTTTATGCATGTAGAATTTGATCGTTGTGCCGAAGTTTGGGTTTCAGTTATGGATTGTCCATCTTTTCTGGGATTTCTCAGTGGATGGATTGAGCAGTTGCAGATTCCACTCCCATCTGTGTAGGTCTGTGAAGAAAGCCAGTGCTCTGCCCATTCTGGGTCAGGGTTTGACAAATATTTCTGGTATATACTTGACATCCTGTTCACCATTCTTGCGTTTTTAGCACATTTCTGGTATGTGGGACTATTATAGCAGGTAATTAAAATAATTGGAAGAAATAAAAATAAAAAATGACAACTTTGAGTAGCAATAACAACATGCCAACATGAGTGAGAATAAACTCTTTGAGGGATGCTTAAATTAGACGCATCTGCATTTGTGGCCCTGGGAGCTTTTTCATACATTTGGATGTTATTCTTGGGAGAAATCTCAGTTATTCCTGCCCAACAGGAAAGCAGTAAGCTTTATGAAGGACAGGAGTCATGGGGGTCAGTCACAGACTACCTGGATAATCCAACCCCAGGCATTCTTTCTTAGGAACCCTCTGTGTTACACAGGGGGGTAATTTAGAAGTGATATCATTAGTCCTACGAGCTGCCGATTACTTAGTTGGATAAACAAATGCACTTTCAACAAGTATGAAATAATGAAGCATATGAGAGACATGGAGATCAGAAAGAAGCCACTAAGTCCTGGGTTTCCTGGCTGATGCTTAGGAAGGAGTTGTTTGCTTCTCGTTTCCATCTCAAATGGTACACAGGCTCTGAATCAACACAAAAGAGCTATATATAACTTGCTCTAATATTAAACAATGACAAGGATGGGGAGTTTATATGTTTTGGATTCATTCAGCAAATATTTAATGAGCACTTACTATATTCCAGATGGTGGATAAATAGGCAAAGCCATGGGCTTCTAGAGACTAAGTCTGTTTTCCTCTTTTACTTCCTCCTTTTCTCCCTTTTTCTGCCACAGGTCCCAGCCTCTTTACTTTCAAGCCTTCTTCCAATCATGACCCTGGAATTTCCAAGTGCTAAAATCCTATTCTAAAGGGAAAATCATACATTTCACCATTCTAAAATAGTCTGGCTGCTGGCAGAGATGGACTAAAACCCAAGGCGAAATGCCTGTTTTGACCCGGAATCAATAGGAAGACCAAGGGCTCAGCTATCAGGGAAACAAGCAGCCCTGTGGCAGCCCACTTCTGTCCTGTCGCCATTGGCAATTCCTCTACAATATCAGTTTCCTATCAAAGGGATAACTAGGGGTTTCTGGCTTCCAGGAGGAAGAAGGATGAAGGTGGCCAGAGGTGCTGCTGTACTTGGTGGGTGCTGCTTGGGACCCTCATCCTGTGTCAAACATAGCTCCTAATGCTTTGTAATACCTGCATCTGCATTATTTAGTTCTTTGTTAATTTTATTCCCAAGAGTAATTCCAGAGGAAGGATTGTAGAGTTCTCTGCAAAAAGGAGAGCTTCAAGGAGGAGTACCATATGACAGCAACAGTGACCCACTGGGACTGGGCCAATGAACCAGGATTGGGATGGCCCCTCACACCCTTATGTGCATAGGACTCCCTTGGCGATCTTGTTAAAATGCAGATTCTGATTCCGCAGGGAGGGGCTTGAGTTCTGCATTCCTAACATGCTGATGCTGTCAGTCTGGTCCACTGACCACAGGTGGAATAGCACAGCTTTAAAGACCTGTTTCTCTCATGGATCCTGTAGTCTGTCCCTAGCTGGGTGGTGATATGTGACTTGATAAAATGAGAAGTACAGGTTCCTTTTCAGCTTCTGCAGGTTCCCTAGCACATCTACGTCCTTCCCCTCTCAGCTGCTGTGAGCTGAACCGTCTCTTCTCACAGCCACGGTTCATGGCCCCCAGCCCACAGAAGTCAGAACTTGTCCGTGCAGCCCAAGCAATGTAGGGGTCTTCCTGCAAAGCAGAGTTGCCCACCCCCCATGCCCCCTATGGTGCATTGTTAGCTCACCCCACACTCCCCCTCCTATGCTGTGTTTTCCGGAGACAGGGACCTCCCTGGTTGACTGTGTAGGAAAGGGGACCTATGGCAATTATCAGTTCGCAATGTGGAAACGTCATTTTTAAAGTATATATATACAAAAACCAGACTGAACAGTGTCAGCTGCAACCTCACTGCATCAGCAAACACTCACTAAGACTCTTTTAAATTTTCTCCTTAAGGAAGAGGCCCCAGAGAACACAGACTGATCGTGCTCAGTTGCCCACTTCTGGGGCTGGGCTGGTCCTGAAGGCCATGCAGAGCTTCCTACTCAAAACAAAAAAGGGATAGGACTGACCTCTCCCAAACATACCCCTGAACCTCTTCCTTGATCCAAATATGCATTTAAGAAACAAAATAGAAAGATCAAAAAGAAGGGAAAGTGAGGAAGAAATTCCTGCTTATTGAGTTTCAAATGAGATTTTCATGGTCCTCCTGGAAAAGACTTGAGTCTCTTGTGATGGCAACTGGAAGTGGGAATTCTCCTCCACAAAATTTGGACTGACATTGAGTCGGCACTGCCTACCCATGCATGATAAAATAACATTATTAGGAAAAATTAAAACTGAACCCATAGACTTCACAGTTAACCCCTCTGTTAAGAAATACAACTGTTCTCCTTAGTGTAGCACTCAATTTTTTTCCAACATATATAACAGAAAATGCTCAGAAATTAAAATTTGTGTCTCAAAGATGAGAAGAATTTTTCAAACGGGGCCATTCCCTTAAGGCTTATTTGATTTGCAATATGCATTCATAATTAGTGATAAGATAATTTTTCCTTTTGGGGACATTTGAATGAAGCATACATTCTGTAAAGGCTCCTTTCTTTCACATATGAACTGCGAAAAGAGAGGGAAAATATTTCTTTCTGTGGGCAAATTTTAAAAATCTGACCATATTTATAAAGGCACATAAATAATTAACGTAGAAACACTAAAAAATTTAGACCAATAATTAATCAATGTGTGCTTTTAAGGCAATGTGGATTGGGGATAATAAAACTGGTGAAAAATTACACTAAGCGGCTTTGAGATTCCTGGATGGAACTGGATATAACACGCAAACTTATTTTTCAATTGTCCCTTTCACACCTGGCTACTAAATCACCCCATAGGTTGCCTCTTTTAGTCTAGGAGATTGGAATATGTGATGCTGCTTGGGAATGAATTATACTGCGCTATATGAAAAATTATGATGTAAGTGACACATAATATTTTCCAGAGGAGTCTACTTGAATAGTCTATACCTTTCAAAAGTGTAGGAGTTTAGATGCGCCCTTTAAGTGTGAAATCTGGCAAATTCATTCTTCTAATTCTTCAAAATAAACTGCTAAGTAGATGCTAATGTTGAGAAACACGGATCAGGGACCCTTGGGATGGGAGCTCTGATCTGACACCCACTACTCCCATTCTCATAGTTAAGGAGAAAAGAAAAGAGACTATTTTGTCTCTACTTGACTGTTTTCTTTCATTCTTTTCTCCCTCTTAACATATTAAATTTAGAAATACAGAATTCTTTCTTCATGTACATTACCAAAGAGTTTCCTCTACCTACCCTCCTCCAAATGACTGAGCTCTCAAAGACGAGAGAGAAGGCAGGGTAGAGGCTAATATTTTCTCCAGACTTGACGATTCATGCAAACCTTTTACATGAGGGAGCTCACTCTGTTTTGGGGGAAACTGGGGTGAGAGACATTGATGGCTCACCCAACCCTTCTGATCACAACCTAGGCCCTCTGACCCAAATCTTGACCTGTTTTCATTTTATAACTTCTTTTTTTCCCAAAAGGCATTCCTTTAGCGAGATGGAGAAATTATCAGAAACCTGGGAGAAAAGAAAATACTCGGAAGTAAAGTCTCCAGGTTATTGGAATAGTGTTCATCTGTACATGTGTGTATGCATATATGTGTTTGTATTTAATGTGTGTGTGGGCACAGTTTATCTACAACATACCCACGATCTTATTGCTAGTGAAATATAGTTAAACAATAACCCAACTTTATTACAGAGTATCATCTAGCTATTATAAGCAGTGATATCTCTATGAAATAATATAAAAAGTGTGATGATTTTATAATGAAGAGCTAAATAGTTGCAGGATATGAGTAATTTGATATAAGTTTTATAAAAATAAACCCTGATTCTGTCACTGCATGGAAAACGGTTGAAGTTTACACATCAAACTATTAATAATGATACACCTAGAGAGTGGGACTTAGGAGGATTGTGAGAGGATTTCCACATATTACTTTATATCTTCCTTACATTGTACAATAATCTTTTTTGTTTTTGTCATAAAATAATTCTAAACAAACACTGAGAAGTGCGGTCTTGGCCACCAGCTAGCTGACATGCTGCACATAAATATTTCTGGTTCTTATTAATCAAAACATATGCTTTTCTGCATCGTCTTTTAGAGAAAATGAGCAGGCCCCCTCTCCTGCAGGAAAATAGTTCCTATTTATAAGAGGAGAAATGAAATTGGGAACACCCACAGGCCAGGAGAAGTTAGGTAGGAAAAAGAAACCACTAAGACTTAATAAATCTGACTTAATTTAAAAAAGAAAAGTGGTTGTCACGGGGCAGACCTAAAGAACCAGTTAGTACTTAAATTGCTGTGGCTCTTAATTGCTTATGGTCCTCAGGAAGTGAAAGGATTGAAATGCAGGCTCTATGTGGCTTCACTTAATTAATATTTATGACTGCAGAAGAAAATTAAATAAGGCAAACGGTGTAATTTTAAACAGCCTGTGGTCATGGTTAGCAGGACTCACAACAAATTCAGAAGCGAGAAATGTAAGCACACTTTGGGCCTGCGTGGCTTCAGTTTTCATTTTTTATGCCGAGTGATGCCTCCAATACCATCTTGGAACATTATGGTGATCGTTTTCACTTATCATGCATGTTTCTTTGTCTTTGTGACTGGTTGTCTGAAGGAAGAGTTTCTTTTTCTGGGGGTGGAGAGATAGAGGGATGCACAAAGATGTTAGCTTTGGAAGCATCTATAATTTCTCATGAATGTTTTTAGGATGTATATCTGCCATTTACTGAGTTTTTTGCATGGTTTGATGATTTGAGTTTTTCCATTTTGGGAGCAGAGAGT